GCTAACTTAGTAAATCACGATAATTGATTGTTAAGAGAAATAGATTGCAGTTGAAATGAATTTTGTTATGATCGTGTGGAGAATGATTGAATTCAGATAAAACTATAATGGAAATTATTAATGAGAAGGAGATCTTTTTAGAGATCTTTTTAGCAAAAAAGAAGGAGATCTTTTTCAGAGTTTATAATATTAATTGTAGAAACGGGAAAGAAATATCATTTTCCGGATTTCTACTCAAACCTTTCATTTCTTTTGTTTTTCTCTCAATCTTTTCTGTATGTGTTAATTACAGCTTCATTGGAAAAGAAAAAATGTCAAAGATTAAATTAACTTGAAAATTATGTAATATTAAGTTTGTTCCCAGTACTTTTCAAAATGATTAATTCAAAAAAATTTTTTGAAGATTTCTAAATGTGTGGGAAAAAAAAGGTTAAGAGTAGAAAAGAGTTGAAAAAGCGAAATAAATTTGAGTGAAAAAAATAAGAATTAATCCCTGCAATTATATACACAAATAAGTATTCAATTTTATTGCTAAACTAACAAAAATTACCTTTCATATCATTTTAGGAGAAAAAAATTTCAGTTTCCAATCCTAAAACTTAAAATGGCCAAATGTAAGATAATGCTGTATTAGTATTTCTTCAAATCATATATCATTCTTTTTCATACCTAATACTTAATATTATATTATTGACTAAATCAATCTGATAAGAATTTGGAAGATTACTTCTTATTATACTTGTTTTTATTCAAAAGATATAATGACACCATACAATAAATTATCATATCATTCTGTATACAATAAATTATCATATCATTCCATATACAATAAATTATCATACCATTCCATATACAATAAATTACCATATCATTTCTATATCATTCTTCTGTTTTGTTTTGTCTTCATGGGGAAAAAGAAGAAACTCAAAAATGATAAATTTAAAAAATTAGTTTACAAAGAAGTCTATGTAAAATGTCACGTCTAAAGGTATCAGTTGAAAAGATGCTACCGTTAAAAGCACTATACTTCTGATCAACTATTAAAATTAAAGTATGCTATATACTACATTATGAGACATTTTGCATATAGTTAAAGTACACCATCATAATTCCCGAGAATTCTTGTATCGCTCATAGCCATGACAAATAGTTGTAGTTATTAAATTATTGAAAATAAACTTTTCGTTCAGAAATAAAATGCATCAAAAAGCAATTAAGATAATGGCCTAAATTTAATGATTAGCATGTTGCTTTCAAAAAGTTAAAAAAAAATGACTTCTTAATAGGAAGTTTTAAACTCGAGCTATTACATAATATAGTATGTTGTATCGATTTTCGGATCGGGAAAAAATTGGTTGGAAACGAGATATTTGTTGATTTTTAACAACAATTCACCCTCCTCTCTTAATACTTTTTAACAGTCCTTTCAAGAAGATATAACGACGAAAACGGAGATCGGCGGAGAAAAAAAAGAACGACAGAAATATTCAATGAAATTAATTAAACTGATTGAAATCTTTGACACACAAAAAAACTTTTTTTGTGTGTCAAAGATTTTTGATACTATTTGTGAATGAATGAAAATATATGTTGACAGCTTGTAAAGATATTTCTGTTATGTAACAAAATAAATTTATTTCAATTAAATTAAATATTTTTAGCAAAAGTTTTCGAACAATCATTTTTGTCAGTAAAAGATCAAAAGATTTTGATTGAAGTTTGATGTTAACAAGTGTAAATAAATAAATAAATAAATAAATAAATAAATAAATAAATAAATAAATAAATAAATAAATAAACAAAATAAATAAAAGAAAGAGGAAAAGATGAAAGAATGAAATGAAATACTGAAATGATATGTGTTGAAACAGGTCGTTCATGGAACTCTCCTCACATGAATATCACAATAATCTTAATCTTTTCCATAATTAATCATTTTAAACAATTATTTATTACATAATAATATCATATCAATATAATGTTTTCAGTACATGATGTTTACATGAATGAAATGAAATAGATACGTAGAAGATATGAGATATTGTTGTTATTTTCAGCTAACCAAACAAAATTAGTCAATAACTAATAAATTTAACTTTCAAATTCAAATTTAACTTGAAGTGAGAGTGAAATGAAATATGTTAATTAACTTTCAAATATGAAATGAAATAAGATTGGAAAAAATGAAACGAAAGAGCTGAAACGATGAAAGATGATGGAAAAAGATGGACAAATTTCATTCAACCACAACTTACAAATAATCTATCGAAGATATAATCAATCATTTTGCTCCATTAATTTATAGCCATTATGAATATCAAATGAGTAGTATTATGCATTTGTGAATGTCTAAATGATAAAACAAATGCTACCTTTTCATTTTATTTATAAATGTATAAGTTGAAAACTTTTTTTTAGCTTAAATATGAAATTGTACGATTATATAAGATATAATATTTATTGTTGTTGTAAATAAATAAAAAGAAATTAAAAATGGATTGAATGATTTTAATTAAATTTAAATTAAATGATTTAACATAGCGGTTGAGAATTGTTTACCAAGAAAGAATGTAAACAAAAATATGGAAGTTTTATAGAGAATGACTGTCACTAAAAATATATTACTTTCTTGTTTATTTCGTCCCATTCATACTATTTTTTCAAGGTTTCAAAATTGCATTATCATCAATTTTGTTTATTTTTCTTATTCCATCAAGAAACTATTCTCATTCTTCTTCCATTCATTTGAATCTGCCTCTAACTTTCTCTTTTTCTCTATGAATCCATTTTCGATGATATCATTTTCGATGGTATGATTAAAAATGGAAATTCATTTTTATAGAGCTAACTAATAGGCTATATTAGATGCAATTAATAGGCGATCGCATATAATTGCCCAATATCTGCCATATATTCACCGATCCTATTAAAGATTGCATATCAGAATCGTTTGGTTATATTTTACTTCCGTTAAAACGGTCATCATTAGTGCTTATTTCCTTCATTTAAATTAATCATTTGATAAAATTGATTGGGCAGATATCAAAAATTCCCTCCTTCGATGTCTCACTTTGTAGAGATTGTTAATGAAAAACTATTTGTTAACACTGATCAAAATTAAGCATAAATTAAATGAAATTTAAAAAAACAAAAGTAAGAAAAGAATAATGATTTATGAAGTTTAAAATAAGTGTGGAAGAAAAGTATATATACTATAAACAGCTATAGAAGATAATCATCTAAATGAACTGTAAATAAGTTGATCAGACAGATTTTTGCTTCATTAATTAATTGAATGAGATTAAAATGGTTTGATAAACTAAGTTGTGTTAACTGATAATGCCTTTCCTTCCCTTTCGGTCTCTTTACTCTTCTCTGTCCTCCTTCTCAATCTTTCCCCCGCATATTATATTGGGAATGATCGGTGATGATTCAGTATGGAGTGAAGTAGAAATGGGAAGAATATTACATGTATTTATTGTTGAAAAAGAAGAGTGATGGAATCGGCTTGCCATGAACAAACATTTCCATTTCTACATACCACTCCAAAAAGTTTTGATCTCAAATAAAATAAAAGAAAAAAATAACTTTTTGTTCAAACCAGCTGTCCTGTTATATGTTGATTTTCCAGAATGAATGTTCTATCATTTGTTCGCTTTGGGATTCATTTATGATTTGTGCTCTTATGAATAAAATCATTGAAATGAAAAATTTAAAAATGATATATTATTAAATTTGTTTGCTGAATAGAAAAGTATATACAAAATTAAAGCCATTGTAATTTATGATTTATTATTACTATTATTATTATTATTATTACTTATTATTCATCATCATTATTTATTATTATTTGTTATATATTATTATTATTATTATTATTGTTATTATTATTATTATTATTATTATTATTATTATTGGCATTATTATTAATTATTATTGTTTCAAAATAGAGGTAAGATAGAGAGAGAGAGAGAGAGAGAAAAGGTAAGAATGAATGAAAAAATGATCAGGAGAATATGAGAGAAGAATGACATTTAAAGATAAAATAAAAGTGAAGAAGAGCCAACTTGTGTGACATATCGATCTAAGGATGTGTAAATTCAACAACTGAAATAATGCGGAAAAAAAAGGCGAAAAATTGTCGAAAAAATAGTTCATTAAGTTAGAAAATCAATTCTGTTATTTCCTTCTTCGTCTTCTTCTATTCTAAACAAAAATGAACAAAACAACAAAAATGCATGAGAAATTGATAACAGATTTTTCGACAGATCTTCTTGTTATTTCAACGAAATAAATACATTCTCTTCTCTTCTAAAATTTACTTGTATTGCACTCAACATGCACTAAATCTGCATGCTTTTAACATGTCACGTGGTTAAGTATAGCGTGAAAATTCCCACATTCCATCCATCCATCTATCTATCTATCCTTTACTACACATTGATAATAATGACATAAATTTTAACAAATTTTCTAATATATCAAAATGTGAATTAATTTCAACTTAATGATTGCTCTCTCTTTTTTTCTTTTGTAGAAAGTTAAAAGAAGAAATAATATGTAATGAAATGAAATCATCAGGTGACACACACACACACACACACACACACACACACACACACACACATACTTCTTGAGTTATTCTCCGATCTCTTCTTGCCTTTTTCTCCAAATGAAACAAAAGCAACAAACAAACATAGTTGAATGTAATTTCCGTCTCAGATATATATCACATCATATATTTGAAAAAGCATCAAATCATTAAAGGATGAAAGATCATTAATTAGTTAAATTTTAGAAATTAATTTTAGGCAAAAGATATGAAGGATTTTCTAAATAATTAAAACGATGATTATTTTCTGATAATCATCGTTTTAATTATGGATATTTTGGATATTATTTATGGATATTTTGATAGAATTATCACTGTGATAATTTTATGACAACATAAATGATACTGAAAATTATGGAGAAATTTTAGTAATTAAAAATTTAAAAAATTAAGGAAAACTAACTTCTTTGTCGTCGTATTCTGATTTAACTGCTATATGAAGAGATGGTGGTGTTGGTATTTTTTGATTTTTTTCGACAGAAAATGATGAAATTTGTTCAATTGTTCCTTCTTTTCGTTTTCGTTGATAATGGCGTCGTTTTAAGGAACTCGCGGTAGCTTCCACGTTAGTATCCCTTATCACTATATCATCATCATCACCTTTTGATAACATCTGATCAATATCACCAATCTTATCCATATATGTATGGATTTTAGTTGTTGATAAATTGTCCTCATTGTCAGTCATTTAAGGGATAGTTTACGATTTAGATTAATTACACTTTTATTCTTATCTGCAATGTAGAAAAATTTCTTTCAGATCAAAATTTTCAATGATAAAATTAGCACAATATCGCAGAAACGATAATATCCGATTGATAATTTCTTCACCACAAACATAATATAGAATCGTTGAAGACGAATTATATGGCTCATTATTAATTATCATATGAATGTGTGCAGTCAATTGGAAGTATAATATCAACACAAAATCACTCTGCGTCTCCGGAAACTTAACTAACAAACGCTATGCTGGCATTTTTATATCTTCTCCATCCGGAATAATGCATATTCTATTATCATTAGGTGGTATTGTCAAAAAATATATATATATAGAATAAAATTTATTTCGAAATCATTTATCCATCTTTTCCTTTCTATTCCGATTTTTTAATGTAATTTCAAGTTTTCCTGATATTGAGTTTTCCTGATACTCTTTCTTTATTTTTCTTTTCTTTAAAACATTTTTATTGCTAAACAATTAAAACAATATTAATCTAACAATACTATTCGTTCACTTTTGAATAAACACATTAATTATCGGAAACAAAAATTTCAACTTAACCATTACAGATAAGGTAAGAGAACGCGGGGCGGAAACAGCGAAGAAAGAATGGAAGAACAATTCCCGCCTGTACTCTAATCACTTACGTTATATGAAGTTTATAAAACTTTTCAGATAAAGAAGCTATTTGAGCGGTGTCACTTACTCTCGAATTTCGCTCATAAAAAAAGCATTTCGGGAGATCGAAAGATACAACGAGAAAAAAAACCAGTACGTTGCGATCGTTAGAGGCGCAAAAATGCGGTGGTGCACATACATATATACATACATATACACACATACATATACATATACATACATATACATACACATACACACATACACACATACATACACATTACCTTATTGCCAGTGGTTGCTCGATTCGTTTACGAGAAATATAAATGAAGAGTGTGATGAATGGAATAGAGGAGAGGGGAAGGAAAAAATGATGCAAAAATTCGATATATATTTTTTTCAACGGGTAGTTAAAAAGAAGAGAGGAAATTTAGTTTCGAAACAAAAAGGATTCAGTGGAACATATGTACATATATGGATGTATGTATGTATGTATGTGTGTATGTGTGTATGTATGTATGTATGTAAAATGATGACAACTTATGATATTGACAACTATCAGATAACTGTAAACATTATTTAAAAAAAATATTATCTATTAGGATTATATTATCTATTAGGTGAATATTTTTTTTTAAACAAATTTAAGTGAAGTAGGATAGAAAAATGACACTCTAAGCCTTTATTATATATTTCTACACTTTACAATTATTAGAAAATAATATTGGAATGGATATTGTTAAAGTGGAATATAATAATAATAATAATAATAATATTGTGAAATAAATAAATAAATAACAACTATAGTCTCATTAAATTAATTAAAAGCCAAAAGGAATGTATGGAAGCCTTTATTATATATTTCTACACTTTACAATTATTAGGAAATAATATTGGGATGAACTGTTAAAGTGGAATATAATAATAATAATAATAATAATATTGTGAAATAAATAAATAAATAACAACTATAGTCTCATTAAATTAATTAAAAGCCAAAAGGAATGTATGGAAGCCTTTATTATATATTTCTACACTTTACAATTATTAGGAAATAATATTGGGATGAACTGTTAAAGTGGAATATAATAATAATAATAATAATAATAATAATAATAATAATAATAATATTGTGAAATAAATAAATAAATAACTATAATCTCATTAAATTAATTAAAAGCTAAAAAGAATGTATGGAAAGGATAAATTTCAAATATTCTTCAATTGGTTACAGAAGAAATTACTACCAAAAATAAAAGTTTGTAAAATTAATTAAATGTATTAATTATTTCCATTTAATCCTCTTTTCTATGCTTTTTCCGCTTTCTTTTGTTTCTTCTTTATTTTTTTAATAATTGAAGGTAATATTTTAGAGTGATTTCAATTTAGACAAATAAACAAACGAACGAATGAATCAACGGATGAACGAACGGACGGACGGACGGACGGACGGATGGATGGATGGATGGATGGATGGATAGATGAGAGGATGAACAGATAGATGGACGGCATAATTTATCAAGTTTTAAAAACAGAAAATGGAACATTTTGTTAAATGAAAAATATTACAGCAACAAGAAGCAACAATTCTATTTGTTATGAATATACAGGATATTTATATATTGAAATATTTGATATAGGCTTTAATTAAATGCAAAATATTGACGTATAAATGACATATGTAAAATTAGTTGAAATTTCTGGCCTAATAAAATTATCGGAATGTTTTGATTGTATTATATTTACTTTCTCTTATAAGTATTATTAATAATTATGATGAAAATTGTTGAAAAGAAAAAGTGATAGAGAAAAACGGAGTATCGGATACGGTTTTTTTCTAACATTTTACATCTAATTCAACCATTTGTAGTTTGAATTGTTTAACTTCAATTTATAATCAGATGATTAAACATTTTCAAATGGTTTATTTCCGAGGCTATCATTCCGTTGGTATATTATCGTTAAGCAGGTTTTTTTGTTTTATATTGAAAATCATAGATTAGCCTGAATTTTTTTCGTTTCGATAAAAGATCGAAAATCACCTGTTATACGATATATGAGTTAGAGATAGATATGAAGTGTAGGAGAAATTTCCGCTAGTATTATTATTGAAGATAAGGGAGATTTTTTTAAGCGTCTTTATTGAGCCAAAATTGGAAATTTCCTCAATAAGCAAAATAATTGATAGGATGTGTCGTTTAGAGCAAATCGATTAGAATCTTTTCTTCTTCGACGAAATTTTCAACGGATAGGAATAGAAAGAATCAATGATAGAGAAAGGATTTGAAAAGTAAGATAAGAAATGAGACACGAAATTATTTGAAATAAAAATTAACACCTGTTCTGTTTCATGATGTTTGCCAACCTTTCGTATTTACTTTCATGCAGGTAAAAATTGGCAATTTATTGCTTAAATACAAAAAAGCCTTACTTTTAATAATAGAAGGTTAAGTTTTCAAATCTCCCACCAGTTGAATGACATTTGATGAGCTATGCATTAAAAAATAGTTAAATTAAAAGAATGAAAGGAAAAAGAAACATCGATCCTTTTTATAAACATAAACATAAACAAAAAAGACAAAGAGAGAGAGAAGAAGAAAGTGAGAGAATTAGTAAAGAAAGAAATAAAAAAAGAACCTTACAAATTAATAATATTTGAAGAAAAAGAGAAAGTTGAATGAGAAATTGTGATTACATTTCGAAAAATTTTGAATAAAGGAGGAAACAAGTCATTAGTATTATCACTAGTGTTCAAATGAAATCATTGGCATTGTCTAATCCCGGAAGATAACTTGAATGATTTCGACTCATTCCTGACAATTCAGAACGAACTATTATTAACTGACCTAAACATAATAGATAACTGGACAATTGACATTGTCTAATCCTGAAGATAGTAAATATACTCGATTATTATCACCTATGATACATCTTTAAACTGTGGAACTCGTCACCATAGTCTGTCGTCGTCTTCGCCTGTCATTAATGTTATGGCTCGAGTATGGGCTGTTACTTCTGCTTCTGTTGCCGACGCTGTTGCCACTATCGCCTTGTTGCTATCATCGAAGACCGATAAGATAGATGTTTGAAGAGACAATGAATTTCAATTCAAAGAACGAGAAAACAACTACAAACTGAGATGCACATACATACATACAAACAAGGTATAGTGTACCCTAGCACACCAGCAAACAGACGCACACACATATACACATATCTGTCACATACCTCCATTAGATCTCGTGGTACACATATATAGGGAAAGAGAGAGATAAAATAAATTTGAAAGGATGAGAAGGCACGTGAAATTGAATTAAAAAACGTCGTATTTCGTTACGTCACGTCACGTTACAACTGATTTACTTTCCTACGTTCTTTTAAAAATGAACTGAGGAACAAGTTTTTCTCTTCTCATCAACCAATCCACCACTGTCTTTAAACATCCATCATTCCATGTCAAATTTCTGGTTGCAATACAGTTTCTTAACTTTCGTCTCTCTCAATCTAGCTTTCTAGCTTCCTCTTCATCTTTCTCTTCTTCCAAAATCCTGAATACCTATCTGGAACATTCGTGAAAACAGCATAGTACAGGTTGCAAACGTTGCACAACATGTGGCACTTATGGACGCAGCATGGTGCATACAGATATGGATAATATAATTGTAGAATGGTACCTGTTACAAGTAATCAGGAATACAGTTGCATATCTAAGAAATATATTACAGGTCAGGATAGTATATTGGTACTTTACCTAACTGATTACACTTGTAACACATTGTTTACTCAAAATGATAGCTAAGCATAGAGCAGAAAATGGAATGATTAATAGAAATTAACAGCAACGGATTAATAGGAATAAAAGCCGTAGACAACATATAATTCTAATATGTGCTATCAACCGGAAACTACTGTAGTAATTAAAATAATGTATAAAAGGTATTATCGAAGTAGCAATTAATAAAATGAAATTTACTTTAGGATATTCTTAAAAATTACTAATTTGTCTTTTTTTTAGTTTTAAAATTTTGATTCTTATTTTTATGCTAATGAATGTACCATATTATTTGATTTTTACAAAATTTTTGATGACTAATTAAGTAATAAAATAGGATTTCATAATAAAGATTAGCATAAATTAAAATATCGTAAGAATCACTATAATAATCACTATAATTTATAGGAATATCATAATTTGTAAGCTTTCGCAATATTCTTCTTTTATTAAGAACAATGTAAATTATGTCACATGCATTCTGCACAAAATTTCCCAATAAATTATAGTGAAATAATAGTTTGTG